TACTCCAGGTGGAACTAAAGTCTGATTTAAGAGTTGATTATATTTCACATCATTCATCCAGATCTGTAAAGTAACTAAAGGTATTATGTAGTGGAGTAGAAGTACACCATTTACCTCTGGACTGTAGAGGAGCAGAATTACAACGAAGAAAAAGTGGAAATACTTAAGTACCTCAATATAAGTACAGTACTTGAGTAAATCTACTTACTACCACCACTGTATGTCATGTGTGCTAGCAGCCCATAATCCACACAATAAGTCAATGTGAATTTTGTTTAATTTAATTTTTTCCCCTAAAGAATAACCTATAAAAATACTGTTAAAGAACCGGATCGATAAAACGTATTTGTAATTGTTTAAATTATGCCTCATTATTCCACAGTGGCACAGGGCCATCTGCCAACACAAGCACTTTGGTTCATGTTCAATCCATAATACAATTAGAGTTGGATCTTTTTGTCTTGTTATTGTTAGCAGAGAAAATGTAATGTTTGTAAAACTATATACAATTAATTCCACCAATCTCGGTGGGAACCGGGTTGGGGGGTGGGGGGGGGCTCGAAAAAAATATTTATAATTACCCAAGGGGGGCCTGACTGAAAAAGGTTGGGAACCACTGCTTTAGGAGATGACTAGATTAGTACGGAAAATGTTTAGAAACAGTCAGAGTAATGCTAAAAAAGTAATTGGCATAAAAGAAAGTCACAGTATAATCAGAAAATAGTCACGTTATACAGTATCAGTAAAAAGTGATAGTATGATGTCATAAGAAGGTAAGTTGTCTTCATAAAAGTATACATTATTGAGTTATGGCCACATTTCATAACTCAAGATCTTTGACCACCCATATCAGTTCACTGAGAGATTCTCGAGGCGGAGGCATGATATCTTTTGGTTGATAATGACAAACTAGTGGAAGAAGGATTGTCCTTCTGGGTACAGATCAGGTGAACCAGTGAAATGAGCCTCAGTGTGTTACCTCTGTCCAGCGGATGACTTTTCCGTTGGCCTTGAACTCGGAGCCGTGGAAGATCTTGACGCTGGTGATGGACTCCATGGACTTCCCATCGATCGGACTGATGACACTGAACGACCAAGACACAGAAAACAACAGCGTTTAATAAAACAGAGGAATCAGGAACAGATGTTACAGTGGAAGGCTCGTGGGGAGATCACTGGCCTAAGACTGTGGATGAGGTTGGCCAGAAACAAAACATTAAAGCATTTAATGGATATGCGTAACCCTCACAACCAAAAATATCTTCCTCCAAATCCTAAAACCACCATTTTATTTTTGATTACAGACCCCACCATTCAGACTGGCAGTGGTTACAGACCCTCACTTATACAAAAAAAAAAGATTCTGTACGGTATACCGTAGCCGCCCGCCAGTAACCGGCATTTCGGTAACACCGGGTACCGGTATGCACCCCTAGCTGACACCACTCACATTTCAATTTGCAGATTTGATCACAACTGCCTGTAAAATTGATTGCGTTGGTCTGTATCTCAAAGCCTCGTCAAACCACATCATTCCACCCGGCAACCCTTTCCTCCAGAAGGATTCCCCGAGCATGCATAATACGCTTTGATAGCAAAGTAGTAAAGCGGCGGTTGGGAAGCCATCAGCTCAATTATCCGTGAGATAAGCGCGTCTCTTCCACCCTCCCTCTCCCCGTCTGTTCACTTTCCTCCCCCTCTCACCCCTTGTTGAAGTTGTGGTCGTCCTCTGTCCACTGGATGTGGACGAGCTCCTGGTTCTCCTCCTGGTCTGCTTTCCCACAGGTGATGCTGAAGTCCTTCATGTCCCTCAGGGCTTGCCGTAGAGAGTCCATGGTCTCCGCTGTGATCTGGATCATTACACCGTCTGAGAAAAAAAAAAAGAGCCATTATCAGGATTACTGCTGAAACAAAGAGTCTAATTATCTGCAAGTCAATTACTCAACCATTTCCATTAAAAGAGGAAACGCAGCTGATTTAACACATGAGGATCAGATCACTTCATGATGAGGGTAACGATGCAGCTGGACAGAGGAGATCATTGATTGGACACCACTAGAACACAAGAGTTCAACTCAACCTCTCCAGACATGTTTGGACCATTTTGTAAATTACTGTTTTTATGAGACCCAGAAGCGTTGGAAATATTTACTTCTTTCTCTGTTTGATATTGCTCTTAGTTTATATGTTTTGACTTTGTGGACTGTAACCTTAGACTTCAGAAAATTGTGATGGTCATTTTTAAATATTTGCTGACTAAATAAAAAAATGAACAGTGGAATAATAGATGGTAAAATAGTTGTCAGATGAAGATAGCAGTGGGAAAAATTATGACAACCACCTTGTGTATCATGATATACATATTATATACAGTATCATGATATAGTACATTTAATGAAAATATATTGAGAGGCTGTTTACAGATCAAGCAACCAGAGGCCTGTACTACGAAGCCGGATTTTCGCTTAGCCGGCTAACTTCAGGGAAAACTCTGGGTTTCCGATCCTACGAAGCTGGTTCTCTTCTTAGCGGGCTAGATCTCCATGGTAACTTATGCTGAATGGCTAGCCTGCTCCGGAGCAGGTTAGGTTGCAGGCTAAGAGATCAACTCAGTGAAAGCACCGCCTGCTGACCAATCAGAGCTCAGTGTGCGGAGTTTAAAGCTATCAAGTCATTTTACAGGAGAAAGGAAATGCAGAAAAACTGCCGTTGCAGGAAAGACGGCCGGCTGTGTCACCGACTGTGTGAACGTGTCGTGAACATTAATAGAATATCCCCTCCCATCTTCAGAGCAATCTGACTATTATAACATTAGCGTTAAGAAAGCTTACTTAAATATCTGCCACAAGTTAACACAAGTAACCAGATCAAAGTAACATTACGTACAGTCCGCGGCATATCACATCATAATGTATCATATATTTCCTTATCTGAGTCAGCCTAGCCGTATCTGGCCGTGCAACACTCACAGTGTCACATACTGTATGCAGAAGTATATTATTTTAAGCAACACATTAAGTTGACAAAACACTCAACTCAAATGTAATTAAAGTCAGATCCACTCGTGTCTTAGATGGGGCAGTGATATCATACAACTGTTGTACGCTTTCAAACACTTTTTCTTTTATGTGGCTTTTATCCTGATAAAGTGTTGGATGTTTAAAGTTTAACTTCTTCATATGTCTAATATTATAGTTGACTTTTCATTCAGGAAGTATGACGCACTGCACTGTCAGTACGCGGCTTCTCCATGTTTGTGATTGGCCGATTGCTCCAGATACCACCCCTTTTATATGAACGCGCACCTAACTAGATGGGGCAAAGCTGGCTTGAGTTAACGAGTTGATAACCAGTTTTGGGTTAGTTAATCCGGCTAACTCAAACATCCAGGGTCTGTTGAACTCGATTCGTAGCACAGGCCTCAGATGTGGATGTCTATGTTTTGTGTATTTCAAGTAATAAAATACATTGCAAATTAAAGATACTTCATTAACCCAACAATCACATTCAAATAAAAATATTATCAGGAAGCATTTTCTCATTAGTTTGTTTTTATATTTCCCCCCCACAGCCTAATTAATGTTATAAACAGTATAGACACTTTCTCAGTTGGTCAGTTTAAACCATTACATTTTGTGCCCAAATATTCTTTCTGTGTAGCGAGAGCTTTGCGAGGTAGCTTCAAACATTCCTCTCAACTATTATTCCAGCCTTTTTACAGCCAACATGTATTCTGTTACTTTTCTCACCTTCAACAATGCTGGTTTTGGCTAAGAAGCCAGACGAGGCTTTCAAAGCACCGCTGAACACAAAGAAGCAGGCTCCAGTAACTGTAGAACAAAATAATCACAGCTTCAGTTGAACGTCACAAATCAACAATAGATCGAGGTTGAATTACATTTCAGGGGAACAGCCAGGACAAAGAGTAACATCAGACAGTCAGGAGGAGGATTTTCAGAGTTCCAGATATTAAAAAGCAGACGGAGAGAGCTGAAAGGAAAGGTAATGGATGTGTTTGCGTGTCGGCACCTTTGCGGGGCTGGTGATGGATGCTGATGGCCTGCGTCTGGTAGTTCCCGTCATCGTTCTGGACACACACCAGGTGAGAGTCGGCCCGGTCGTTGAAACACGCCCCCATGGCCAGCACGTGCTCGTTGGACTTATTCATGGCTTTCATCAGCTGCAAGGACAAATGAAACCCATGTATAATTAATCTCCCCTCTGTTGTGTTTCAGTAAACGCACCCAGAGGCCGCCTGGATAAGCCTAATTGCGGAGGGAATGTGGGCGAGGTCCTCGAGTGGAATGAGACGGCGTTAAGATGACAGATTGTGTGGAGAAGACGTTGACAGGGGTGGGTATCAACAGTCGAAAGATCCACGCCCTAATTCTGCTGAATCCCCTCCCTCTCTTTGAAGCCGCCCATCGCAAATCAGAAATGAAAGTGAGAATCTGGAGGGCTTTAACCACTTGCTGCGCTGATCGCTCGTCTGCAAGCTGTTGAGAAACGCTCCCCACTTCACATTACTGCGTTCCCATCTGTTGGAGAATCCGCAGCCAAACGCTACACCCAGCTCTTCACCAAGGCTCTATTTCTCTGCTTCTTATTCTGGTCGGACGTTCATTCACACCCTCGAGGGAGCGTTATAACTCGCCCACGCATACGGATCAGCTGCAGGGCCCCGGAGACTTTGTCACACATCACCTACACAGACTGAACATGTGTGTGTGTGATATTCATGAGCTTAAAGGGAGCCTCCTCCACTGATGTCATTAGTCTGGTGGAGGGTTTCATTTAGTTAGAGAGATGATTTATTATTACGTGCAACATGAGACATCTCTGCCTTCTCTGCTTTTCTAGAATCTGCTTTTATGACAAACATGTTTGAATAGAAAGGTTTTGTAGATGTAGGGAGCTTCCAAGAAAACAAGTTTGGCTGGTATGAAAGCAGTTTCAATCAAGATACTAATAACAAAGAGAGAGAGAACTGGATCCTGATAGTAGACGTCGACAAATACCTCCAGCCTTCCAGTAGTAGAAGTAGAGGTAGTAGTAGTAGTAATAGTAGAAATAGTAGTAGTAGTAGTAGTAATAATAATATTAATAATAATAATAATAATAGTAGTAGTAGTAATAGTAGAAATAGTAGTAATAGTAGTAGTAGTAGTAATAGTAGTAGTAGTAGTAGTAATAATAATAATAGTAATAGTAGTAGTAATAGTAGTAGTAGTAATAGTAGAAATAGTAGTAATAGTAGTAAATAGTAGTAGTAGTAGTAGTAATAATAATAATAGTAATAGTGTAGTAGAAATAGTAGTAGTAGTAGAAAT